TGAGGCGCGCGCCTTGTTGTGCGCCTTGCGCATGGTGCGCGTAAGGGACCTTTGCGCCCCGCATTGCGCCTTGCGCCTCGATAACACTGGATCCACCAACCTTTGATGGTAAGCTCGATCCACAAACTTTCTTTGACTGGCTGAAGAGCATGAATCGTTACTTCGATTGGTATGTCCTGATGGAATCCTAGAAAGTCAAGTTTGTCACAATGAAGCTCACTGGACCCGCCTGCCAATATTGGTCCAACTTTAAAATGATAAGGCATATTAGAGATGAGTTACTAATTTTTACTTGGCGAGAAAGGCCGAAGAACTAAAACGGAAATATCTCCCGTCATCGTTTATTTATAGATTGCTAGATAAGTGGCATTGTCTTACTCAGGGAACCAAATCTGCAAAAGAGTACGTTGCTCAATTTGATGAATTGTTTACTCGATGCAGCGCCATTGAATTAGAGGCACCGATGAAAGTCTTATCAAAATTTAGAGCTGGATTAAGAAATGACCTCCAAACCGAACTTTTTGCTAAAGGAGTAAACACCCTTGAGAGAGCTTACGCCTTAGTTCAAGATTTAGATGAAACCAAATTCCATCAATCTCATAGGGCTCAGAATTTTCAAACTCATCCCTCCCAGTCTTCCCGTGCCAATACATCTAGTCAACCTCTGAGTCGATCTAACCCTAGTTCTTCTCAGTCTAGAGTCGATCCCAAGGGCCAAAAGTCAGAGAGATCTCTCTCCAAACTTAGCCCAATAATGCAGTGTTACAATTGTCAAGGATATGGTCACGTTGCTTCCGTATGTACAACTCCGTTCAGAGTTAGAATTAATAAGCCGCCTATAACGGAATCAAAATCTATTATTAAGGAAACCGTTAACCAGGTCGTAGATTTGACAGAATCTAACTCTGACAAGAAAATCCAAGATAGTATAATCGAAGAACCATGCACTTCCGTTCATTCTGAAACTACCCCTGCAATTGTGAAGTTAATTAAATTTTCATACAATGACAACACTCCGATTATTCCTCAAGCTACCCCTTTGATCATGGAGTTCATTGATGTTGTCCCTGAAGCTGTTCCTGAAATTGAAACTCCAACTCCTAAATTCACTTCAGTGACTGAAAACGTTGTTGATATTCCTCACGAAGTCCTCTTGGACCAACATGACACCCAACACGTTCCTGATTTGGTTCCTAAAGTGAGTCACTTAGATATCTGTATGGAAGTTGAATCCCAAATTGAGCATCGTGAGATAGCTACCATATTAGATGTCAAACCCTCATGCATTGTCTCGATAGTCACTCACACATACACTGATCTTTTTTGGGAATATATAGTGATTAGGGATATAAGTTTGAGCACGAGTGTTTTCATTCTCTCTCATGTTAAACACGCAAAAACACTCATCTGTCATGCATGTGTTTGCATGTTCCTCCTTATCACTGCAAAAATAGAAAATTTGTTATGCATATTAACGAAGGAACACCTAATTGTTCCATTTGATAGATGACGTCATGCATTTTAGACACTTCGTTAAGTTACATCTGTCATTGAGTCTGCATTTTATCATAATCATTTGAGTTGATTTACATTATTTTTTATTTTGCATTGATCATATATTGGGGAATCAGTGATCTAATTTGAATAAATACATTGCTAACTGAAATGTATGATATTGAGTCAGGACCTAATTTAAAACTATTAATGCTGATATTTTAGATGGTCCGGACTTGTCCAATACAGTTTATTTATAGCTGTTTAAGATTTAACATGATATTTATGAGCTTTTCTAACTCTTGAACTAATTAATGCCAACATTTATTGATTTGGTCATAGTTCTATTTTTAATATTGAGTGATTAAATAGTTCACAATGTTATTGACAGTCTACTGATATAAGTCTGATCCTAACCTATTATTTATGTGAGTTCTTTCACTTTACTCCACTTCTATATTCATCCATACAACAGTGAATTTTAATAATATTTTAGATGGTGAATTTATAATGCAATCTAGCTAATGATTTGAGATGCAGAAAAATAACTGACGGCATATTAAGATGCAAACAGAGTATATTAAAGATGACAAGTTTCTACAGCTAACTCGATGGAGTCGAGTTTTCTCCCACCCGGGGAGAATAATGAGGACAAGAAATGATAATATTTGATTAGTTGATATATTTTTGAATTTTAAAATTTGAAATTTGAAATTTAAATTTTGAAATTTGAAATTTGAAATTTAGTTTAATTTTAGTTGAGTGATTTGAGGGATTGTTGTTTGTTTCTATTTTTATTGCATGTTGTGTGCACATAGTTTTTTTATAAATAAAGTTGTATGAGACTATTGAAAATCAATGAAATATTGAAAATTGAAATAAAATTTGAGTTGGTTTAATTTAGGTGTGAAACCTAGACCTCGGGTGTGAAACCCTAGGCCAATACTTGTTCCTCTTCTTCTAGCCGTCAAACCTCTATCTTCTCCCGTTCATCTGTTCATCTTACAGTCTCGCTGCCCCCACCCCTTCTCTTCCACAAGTTGTCGATCTCTCCCTGCTCTTCTTACCTTCGAGCAGCCGTTGTTCCCGTCTCCGTAAGCCGTCAGAACCACCTCAACAGTCGTTGATTTCCCTTCGTCCTCCTCCACTCTTCGAGTCGTCGTTTATTTCGTCTTGACGCCGCTGCCGGCCTCGTCCCGACGCCCGCCACCTGCACTCTTCGAGTCGTCGTTTATTTCGTCTTGACGCCGCTGCCGGCCTCGTCCCGACGCCCGCCACCTGCATCGACCTGACAACTACCCGTGGGACATCACACCGCCCTCATCCTATCGTCGCGTCATCAGTTCAACACTGTCACACTCGTCGTCATCGGATCTCCGCCTCATCATCGTCGTTCAGTTCACCGTTGTCGTCACACCACCTCCAAAGATCTCTCACGTCGAGTCTGTTCAGACCGACGAAGGTTTTGTTTTCTTTCGTCCTTTATTTTTTTGTTGATTTCATTTTGTTAGTTAATTGCATGAATAATACATCTCTAAACTCTTGTCTTATATTCACTGCGTACATTATAATTGTGAGTTGAGAGTATCTGAACATGTGATTGCTTAAACTTGATATTGATCTTAGAACTTGCGAAAATGATAATTGATATTACGATTAAATTATTCGAGATTAGGATTGTTTATGACTGTCGTTGCAAATCTTGTTAAAATCCATCTGTCACATTAATCGTTTTAAGTTAATTTCCTACCTAAGATCATGAATTTTAGCGAAACGGTGTGTTGTTCGATTTAAATCGCTGATTTTGATGGACCCCCTACCCCGTTTCGCATCATTACTTCACAAAAGTTCAAAATTTTTTAAAGCATTCATAAAATATTTTATGCATGACGCTAATATGTAATTTGGTTGAAAATGACATTTGATTGACAGACCAAAGACAAGTCGATTGACAAAAAATATGGGTTATAGTCCACAGAAATTCGTAAATTTTTAAATATGCATAAAATATTCTTTGCTCAACGGCAGTTTGTATTTTGATCGAAAATAGCTGAAATCATGGATTACAATCCAAAAACACGAATTATAGTCCACTGAAATTCAAGAATTTTGGAGTATGCATAATGTTATATATAGAGTGAAAATTTAAGATTGATCGAAAAAAATGGGTTATAGTCCAAAAACATATAAATAAAATGTTCTATATGGGACCATAATTTGTGATTTGGTCTAAGATAATAAAAATCATGGGCTCTAGTCCATATAAATTCGTGTATTTTAAAATATGTTAATATATATTTGTTGGAAAAAATTCAGAATTTAGTCGTAAACAGGGAAAATCATGGGTTATAGTCCACTAAAATTTGAGAATTTTGGAGTACGCATAAATATTATATGCAAGTTAATATTTTTTTATTTGGTACAAATGGCCAAAATCATGGTTAATAGTCCACTATAATTATAGATATTCATAGAAATTTTATGAGGGATAACAGCTTTGTGATTTTGTCTAAAACAACAGAAAAACATGGATTATAGTCTACATAAATTCTATAATCTTTTAAAATATGCGATATTCTCAGTTTTGGTACCCAATAATAGAGATACCATTTGTATGAGGTAAATGTAATTGAAAATTCCTGATAACTGCTCCTGCATATTCATCATCTAAGTTAAGTTACGCTGATACTATTAGTACTACTAACTAAGCCTGTTCAATTGAAACAAGGTACCCTTCCTTCTAAATAAACAACTGCTGCTAGAATACTGCAATTTTAATTCGGGGCATGTAGGAAGAGGTAAGGCATGTAGGAAAGGGGATAAGGCTAGCGTATCTGCAATTTTAATTCGGGGGCATGTAGGAGGGGTAAGGCATGTAGGAAAGATGTATATGACAATAAGATCCAGATAATGTATGACAATTAAAGCGTTTTTTTCCTACTGCTGGGATATTGATATTCTAAATATCTTCCTTCATAACTATACAGATGTTAGTATGCTGCCCACTACACAATTATGGACATGACTATCACCAAATGTTATGTCCAATTGTCCATACATCAACAAACAATATATCAGACATGGCATAGAAACATAACGTTGATTGATTGACCTCATAGTCATCATCTCACTAACCTTTTCCTAAAAATTGCCTGTTACAGAGCAAGTCTCAAAACTGAGAAAGCTCCATAAAAGAATTAAACGAATGTGATGACTGCTAGGAGGGAAGCAGGCCTGTTTTTTCTAGTTATGCAATTTAACCTCATTCTAACCAAATGTCTTCAAAGTCTTTTACTTTGAAAGAGTCCAGAAGAAAAGTTATGACTGTAAGTTGTAACCCATAGCAGAGATCATGTTTATCTCAATGGCATGGTAGAAGCCAAGGAGCCAAATGAAAACTTAATCCCAAAGACAGGCAAGTAAAACCTCCATATTAAGCTGAACGAAAATGGTTGCAATGGATATATTGGTTGCTAATAGTTAAAACCTCCTGATAAATGACATACAGCTGTAGGAAGCACAAATCCCTCCGGAACAGAAAAGCAATGTCGAAGACAGTACTTCTCCCACATCTCCATACGCTTGTCCAGAACTCCTTGTGTCAACTGGCGAATAGCAGAAACACCCTAAAAATGCAAGCAATGTTAAAAAAAAAGAAGAAAATAACAACATTGTTGAAAAGATATATCAACCATAAAGATCAGGAACAGGATCATTTTCAAATGAGTCTAGTAGGACTAGAAAATATTTTGTGTTTAGTAATATCAGTTCAAAATAATTCATATCCATCATCAGTTGTCAACAGAAACCAATATGGAGAATGAGCTTACTTTGAGAAACAATATCTTCATAACAGAACATGTTTCCTCAATTCCATTTTTCTACAATATCTTTGTGGCAATAGCTAGTTAAGATGAATGTTGTTAATATTGAACTTTTGGTATATAGGAGCGCCGTTATCAATTACGAAACTATGAAAATAGCATTTCTTTTCTGAAACATTACAATTGAAATCAACACATTTCATGGATTTGATAATATGTTTGCCTGACTAACATTCATGCCATGTACCCATATCTACCCTGTGGACACCATAGTACAGTAGTACCTTATACATTCACAATTAACCACTCAAAGGAGAAAAGATATCGACTTTTCTAGCTATAATGAGGACATTATGGCTTAGGTTTCAAACTTCATATGTTAAAATTGTTACCACAAAATCAAAATTAAAGAATAAGATCAAGATTAGGCTTTCTACAGAGGGGAAAAGGTGTCCTTTCTAGGTCCAAATGTCATATCTCTCGGTTCAAACTAAGGAATATGATTTTGGCTGAGTATTAAACATAGCCAATATGCCTCAAGAACATCTTATGTATTACATCCCACAATTAGTGCATCAGTAAAAAAGCCATCTACACAGATATATACACTAATTGTAGTGATTACCTCCTATATTACAATTACTCTTTCCACCAAACTAACCCAAAAAAGCTTATATTATCACGTCTTCAGATTGCATAAACCCCTAGCCTGAAAATTCCTTTCCCTTAATACCATTTTCCCAAGTAAAATCATAACTAACCAAGAGAACTGAAATTAACCACACACAAGCAAAAAATACATCAACTTTGCTCTAGTACCATAACAATCAAAGCTTCTAGCTCTCAAGCTACAAAAACCCTAAAATCGAGTCAAATTTGGGTCAGCAACCAGAAAACAAAAGAAGAGCCTTACCCGAGCCAGCTCCTCCGACCTCCCTCCACTCGAATCCCCCGAATCCGTAATCTCAGAAGCTTTCCTGCAACAAAATCAGAGAATCTAAACATAAAATTCACTACAAATGTAGTTTAGAGAGAGAGAGAGAGGAGAGCGAGGGTGGGGTTACTCGAGGGCGAAGCCGAAGGCGCCATCGATGATGTCGTCGACGGAGTTGAGGATCTCGTTGATGAATCTCCGAGGGTTTAGGTTCTGAGCATCGAACGCGGCCTCGCTCATGCTTCCCTCCATCGCGCTTTTGAGATTTGATTGAGAGAGAGGGAGGGGGTTTGTTTTTTTGTTTTTGAAATGGAGTTGGGCTTTGTTCTAGTAAAGGCCGAAGTCTAGTGGGCCCTAAATAAAAGGTATTTTTACAAACTCCCTCCGTGTTCTGGGTTAAGGCCGAAGGCTAGTGGGCCGTAAATGATAGGTATCTATAAATGTACCCTCTCCGTATCTCGGTATTTGCAAAACTACCCCAAAATCATTAATTTTGGAAAATTTATACCTGAAGCAATTAATCATCAATTTTGATAAGCCTATGTGTAATCACAATATAAAAAGTATCAGCAAAGTAGCACGACGTTGGTGATTTGTTAATTTATGGGTATTTTTTCACAAAGTTGCTGATTTGAGGGGTAGTTTTGTAAATACTAATGTTTAGTGGAAGTTACACAAATACTCATGTTTCATGGGGTATATATGCTAATAACCCTACAATTAAGGGCAGTTAGCACTGAATAACTTTATAGCGTCCCCTACTTTGCAGTTATATATCTTTGCTTGTGTTTGACAGTACTTCTGTATACATTGGAGTTTTTAAAATTTACGCTTTAATAATTTTTATTATGCAAAAATGAGAATTTTTCTCTGAATTTTTCATGTCACACATGCAAGCTAATTTTAGAACTATCTAACTCTTGATTCTCTAACTATATCTTAAATGGGCTTATAATGTTTAAGGATGAATTCAACAATGATTAGAGCGCTAAAAGGATCTAAAATTAGCATGTGACTATCGGCATGAAAATTAGATAGAAGATCATCACGTCATATAGCAGAAGGCGTTAAAGTGCAAATTTGGAAACTTTTGGTATATAACTATTGTCAAAAACAACCGAGGGTATATAAGTGCAAAGTAGAGGAAACTAAAGGTATTTAACTGCTAATTATCCTAAAATTAAATAAAAAAATAATGAGAATATCCATTTAATTTCTTCGTAATCTTTGTAATTCAAATCTAGATTCCACCGTTTTCTTTGGATTTTGTTTCTAATTTGTCGGCTTTCACTTTCCCCCCTCTTTTTTTATGCGGGATTCATTGGAGTCGATGTCGGACGATGGAGAGGGAGTGGGAGGGATCGCTCAGAAGGGATTAAAGAATTCCCCTTTCCCGGCCAATTTAAGGTAAATTAGGGTTTTTGTTGGAAAGAAAATCTTGATGTTCTATTTATACATGAAAATGTTACACATTGAAGTGTTTGTGAGATTAATAAATTAAATTGAATGGTCACAAACACTAATCTAATCTGTGATGCTACGTCAATTGCTGGAATTGCCATTTTAGGAATTGGGCACTTTGTAACATAGATTTTGTTGAAGAAACCCAAGAGGTTGGGGTTCGATAACTTAAATTTGCCAACTTTTTCCATGGGCCCTAACTGAAAATTGTCCGACCTTGAGAAATCACTGGCAAGCTATTTCAGCAAGGTTGCTTATTATGAAGCATTTTTTCTGTTCTGTTAATAAATCCTCAGAGTTTCCGGCCTGTTGGCGATATCGACATCACAGTGATCATGTCATGGAATCCTTGTATTGATAAAGAGAAGACAATAGTGTGTTGTGTTCAATTGAAAATTCTCATTATCCGTATATTGATATGGAGAAGACAATAATAAGTATGGTTCCAGCTTAGGATTTTATGTTCTGCGCTTTGTAATCGTGGGCTGTTTGAAACCTGAAGTGACAAAATACTGATAAATTGATAACATAAATACTCAATTTGGATTTCTGAACTCTTCTTCTACTTGCACTGATAAGATCCATTCTTTATATTGCGACAGCTTGATGGAAAGGATTCACGAGGTTGGGAAAATGGAGGAGAAAGCCCTCGATCTTTCGGTAAATAGTGTTTACAGTGATTCGCGAAGAGGTACCTGCCACAGGTAAAATCGCATTGCATAACTCGCTGTTTTAGCTTCCTCCATATCCAGTGTGGTATATAAACATGATTCAGGGAGTGAATACCTAGTAAGTCAAGATTGCTGATCATCCTAACAAAATCGAAGAACTCTGTTGTGCTCATTTTCTCCCCTTCATTTTAGCCAAATATAAACAAAGACACATGTTCAATCTGGATAATGAATGTGAGTGGGCTTTTAACAAGTCTCTTGGAACTACAATCAGGGTTCTGTACTCTTATCATATAGGCGGACGACAGGAATAAATATTTGTAAATTGATGATGAGAAAGAAGAGGCTGGTGGAGCTTTGGAATGGATGAGTCAATTGATGGTTGAGTCGTACGTCTATAGATTATGATTGAGAGGGTGCTATGTCACTTCTCTAAGTCCTAGGAAACAATCTCATGATCTCAAGCATATAAAATGCTTGCTGCTGTTTGTTTGTTTGTTTTTTTTTTTTTTTTTTTTGGTCTTAAATTTTCTGGATAATCATTTTACAGTCTAAGCTAGGCACTAGAATGTTACTATCCGCAATAACAACTGTGACATGAAGAATCTGTGGGATCCTAGAACACCGACAAGATTGTTGGAAGAATTTCTTAAATGACTATGACACTCTATATAAAAATGTTTCGGAGCAGATACATATAAAAAATTGTCAGTCTAAAAGGTAAGGTGAAACGAGAGACTGAGATGAACGCGGAAATGCTAGGTATGGGATGAAAAATAATTGCATCATAAGAAGTTCAAGATCAAGTTAATTGAAGATAAACAAGAAATTGTTGGCTGAAATGGTCTTGTGGATGTCCAGTGAAGGATTTTGGAGTAAGATTAATAGTGTAATTGTGATGAATAATAGAGATAAGCCTAAACAAATATGACTTGACACGGTTAAACATGATAAACATTTGTTAATTTTGCAAAGGACAGAACAGCTGGGTAACAAAAGACTGAGATTAAACCCCAGGGAACATTTCGTGTTGCATAGCACCGTATCTGCATTAGATTACAAAGTGGCTATCTGATGTCACAGAGATGTGAACCGCGTGCAGCATCAGCTCAAAATCAGTACATATGCTCCTTATTTTGAAATTAAAAAAAAACTAAGACACGCTCTTCTTTACGTTCTCTTTATCTTTTGATGATAGGCAGTCAATATTCAAAGCGTGAAGCCTTCAGATGTCTCTCTATCTTTTGATGATAGGCAGTCAATATTCTAAGCATGAAGCCTTCAGAAGTCTCTTAAACAGGATTCCCACACCCTTCATTATCTACTTTCTTATTCATCCACGACCTAAGATTGCAATCCAAGCGAAGTACTGAGATCCATGTCAATCCAAATCCAAATCAAAGGTAGAAGTGGACCACATTAGACGAATTAGGTGAACGGTAATAATATCTTAAACTCCCAATTAAGGTTGGCATCGATGTTTTAAGCTGGTAAATAGCTGCACCTTCAACAAGGGTGATGCAGACGTAGAAACGAGGAGGCTGATCGGATATCGTTCCGATGCCGACGATTCCTGACAATAGCAGGTAATTCACGAGCTTTAATCCACAAGCTCAAAGTTTCTCAAACTTGAGAACGAAAACAATGAGAAAATTTCTCTTGATTGAATAACTGAAAGTTGATTGCTTGATTTACAAAATGAACTATTATTTATAGCCAACTAAATCTATCATAACTCTAATAAAAAAGAAAGTCTAGATCTAAAAGAAAATAATCAAAAAGGAACGCTTTTCTAATCTAAAAGGAAATAACCAAAAAGAACTCTTTCCTAATCAAAAACGAAATAACCAAAAAGAAAATCTTTCCTAATCTAAAAGGAAATAACCAAAAAGAACTCTTTTCTAATCAAAAAGAAAATAACCAAAAATGAACTATTTCCTAATATGAAGTCTGAGTCGACACAGGTGTTTTTCTTCTCGTCTCGTCCAATGCTTGATCTCCTGTATCAGTCCCTCCTTCAGAAGAACTCGTCTCTGAGTTCGCATCACTCGAATACAACTGGATTGAAGGATGATAATCAGAAATATCCACCACGTTAAATGTCGCCGACATAGCCATTCCTTCTGAAAAATCCACTACATATGCATTATCATTTATCTTCTTGATAATCTTGAACGGTCCATATCTTTTCGGCTTAAGCTTGCTGTATGTTCCAGTCGACATCCGTTCCTTCCGCAAGTAAACCATCACCATGTCTCCTTCATTGAACACCTTGAGTCGCCTCTTCTTGTCCGCTCGCGCCTTGAACTTTGCATTTGTTTTCTCAAGTTTTGTATGCACTTCTTCCTAAATATTGATAGCGTTCTCGGCCATTGAACTTGCTGCCTCGCTGAACTTGTTACTTGTCGGCAACTTCAACAAATCTTGGAGATGTCGATGTGTCTTCCTGTAAACAATAGAAAAATGAGACATATATGTGGAACTATGAATAGTCATGTTGTAGGTGAATTCAGCTTGATGTATAGCTTGATCACATATCTTTGGTTTCTCTCCACATATGCATCGAATCAAGTTTCCTAAAGTTCGATTGACCATTTCCGTTTGTCCATCTGTTTGGGGGTGTGCTGTGCTAGAATACTTCAATGAAGTGTCAAATCATCGCCATAAAGTAGTCCAAAAAGTCACCAAGAACCTAGTATCCCTATCCGAAACAATCGAACTAGGAATACCATGTAGTCGAACCACTTCTTGAAAGAATAGTCGTGCAACATGTGGTACATCCGAAGTTTTGCGGTACAGGATGAAGTGAGCCATCTTAGAAAAACGATCTACTACCACGAAGATTGAATCTACGCCTCTTTGTGTTCCGGGAAGTCCCAACACAGTCCATACTCAAATCTTCCCATATATCATTGGGCACAGGTAGAGGAGTATACAAACCAGTATTTTGCACTTGCCCATTTGCAACTTGGCACACTTGACAACTCCTCACAAGTGTCGCTACATTCTTCCCCAAACTCGGCCAATAATACCTCTCATCAAGACTCAAAATAGTCCTGTCTCACCCAACGTGTCCACCAAGCCCGCCACTATGTAGGTCTCGAACTATCTTCTCCCTCAATGACGTCTTCGTAACACAAAGCCGATTCCCTTTAAATAGAAAGCCGTCCATGATAACATAATCTCCTGTGGGTTGTCTTGTCGAACACTTTGCCCAAATCTCCTAAAGTCTTCATCATCAACATAAAGCTCTTTTAAACAGTCAAAAGCAACAACTTCACCTCGCAATACGCTCAACAAGGATATCCGCCGACTCAAAGCATTGGGTACCTTATTGTCGACTCCTGATTTATGTCGCAAATTAAAATTAAACTGTTCAAAATACGAAGTCCAACGTCCATGCATTTTGTTGATATGCCTTTGATTCTTGAAGTATTGAAGAGACTGATGATCGGAGTAAATTACAAAGTCGTTAGCAATGAGGTAACTTTCTCAAGCCTTCAAAGAACGATAAATAACATATAACTCCTGCTCATAAGTACTCCACTTCTGTCGAGCTTCATTTAACTTCTCGTTCAAGAAAGCAATGATGTGCTTCTCTTGAGAGAGAACTGCTCCAATACCTACACCATACGCGTTGCACTCAAACTCAAAGAGCTTGTCGAAATCTGGAAACGCCAAGATTGGTGCAGTGATAATCTTCTCCTTGATAAAGGCAAAAGCCGCGTTTGCTTCATCGGTCCATTAGAAAACGTCCTTCAAACAATCCGTCATGGGAGCAACTATAGAACTGAAATTGCGAATGAAAGCTGATAAAAAGATACTAGCCCATGAAAGCTTCTTACTAGGGCTGGGCGTATTCGGTTCGGTTCGGTTTTAAGCCCAATCCGCATCCAATCCGAATTTTTCGGATTCTCAAAACTCTCATCCAGATCCAGATTTTTCCCCCTTCATCCGAATATTCGGCCCAACCGAAATTCGGTTCGGTTCGGTTCGGTTTCAGTTTTGAACCGAATTAACTCCATTTCACAAAAATCTGGGTAAGTTTTAGTTATATCCAAAACTGAAAAGAAGCAATCAAAACTGAAAAGAAACAATCAAAACTGTACTAAGCCACTTAATCAAATTGTATGATCTGAATATAACTAGCTTAATACACTAGGAGGACCATGTAATTATGTAGCCTTTTTTAGAGAAAGAACAATGTTTGGCAGACACACACACCTTTTGATGATTTTCGTTAATTTTTAGCTGCCTTTTTCTCATCAAGAATTATCTTATATCCTTGACAGCCTATACTATAGGTTAATTTGATATCCAGCACCAGCAAGCTGTATTCATGTTATCACTGAAATTTGACCAAAACACTAAATTTATCCTTCAACCTCAACATCTTGTATTGATTTACGGAAATCTCACTTAACTATATCAGCGTACTCAAATATATGTTAGTATAAACTCCACCCCACAATTCTTAAATGCTAAACATTCAGCCATAAATTTTCTTCACACCCAAGGCTCGCAGCTACTTTTTGTTTAAGAATTCGGTTCGGTTTTTTTTGGACGGTTCAGGGGTTCAAACCGGATCCAGACCGGTTTAATTCGGTTCGGGCGGTTTAGAGACTTCTTCTCATCCATTTAATTCGGTTCGGTTAACCGATCCATTTTTTCGGACGGTTTTTTCGGTTGAACCGGTTTGTTTCGGTTTTTGCCCACCCCTACTTCTTACTTTCGTAACACTTTTTGGAGTCGGTCAGTCCTTGATTGCCTTAACTTTGTCTTCGTCGACTTGGATCCCTTGCGAGCTTACCACGAATCCCAAGAATACAAGTTGAGTCGTCAAAAACACACTTTTTAAGGTTGACGTAAAGTTTATTCTCCTTTAGCACTTGGAAGGCTTCTTGGAGATGTAACATATGCTCCTGTTCATCTTGGCTATATATGAGGATGTCATCAAAGTAGACGACTACAAATCTCCCCAAGAAAGGCTTCGAAATTTGGTTCATCAAACGCATAAATGTGCTTGGAGCGTT